ATTTTTTAGAGATAATTTCATTTATTCAACAGATTTCCATAACAACAATGATCGCTTCTTGGAACTATCAAACCTCTGCACTATTTGTTGAGTTATTTGCTGCAGCAAAAGGTGCAGCCAATAAAATTTTCTTCATACTAGACGAAGATGAACCGAAAATCAATAAAATCGAAGCTACTGCCATCAAACCCGCAAAATTTACATCAAGTGTCAGATTCGAAGGAGTTAGTTTCAAATATCCGGCCAGACCAGAAGTAGAGGTATGTATAATGTTGTGGAACACGGAATAATGAAGAACATTATTATTAAATCCCATATCGAGAATATTTTGTCTTCGAATATAACAGGAAATAAATCACAAGAACAGTTGGCAAGGGTTGATAAACATAACTTCATATTGGATGACTTTTTCTTTCCATTCTTATATCAGCTTCATTCCTGAATTGATGCCAGAGACATGTACCTGATCTGGTACATGTCTCAGGCAGACTATTTTCTATTTACGAATGAAAAACATTATTATATTCAAGGTATTGCAAGATTTCAACCTGGATATCAGATGTGGGGACACGGTTGCTCTAGTAGGAACTTCTGGTTGTGGAAAAACAACCTGCGTGCAACTTCTACAACGCTTTTATGATCCTGATGAAGGAAAGGTAGGATATCTAGATTTAGACTTAAATGACCCTTCACAATGTGTTCCTGATGAAGCTACTATCAATGCTCGTAACAAATCGATGCAAATTCCAAAGTTCACCATTGTTTTGACTGAGCCTGAATTCATTCATCTATTGTGATCAATGGTGAATATAATTCAACCATTTCAAAACTTGTTTTTTCTAGATTTACATCGACAAGAATGATATCAAGGATATTGATATATCTTGCTTAAGACGAAAAATTGGTGTTGTAAGTCAGGAACCCTCCCTCTTTGCCACAACCATTTCCGAAAATATAAGGTTCGGAAAACTATCAGCTACCCAGAGCGAGATCGAAGCAGCTGCAAAGAAAGCCAACGTTCATGAGTTTATAGTAAATCTTCCACGTGGATACGGAACTATCGTTGGAGAACGAGGGACTCAACTCTCTGGAGGACAGAAGCAGAGAATCGCGATCGCGAGAGCCTTAGTGAGACAGCCTGAGATATTGATACTGGATGAGGCTACATCTGCTTTGGATACTACCAGCGAAGCTGAAGTACAAGCTGCTCTTGAGAAGGTTAAGTTGCACAACTGAATCACATAAAGTAGAACACCAGCGTATCAATATCATCTTTGTTTTTGATAATTCATTCATGAACATGCTGGTCAGTTTGAATTATAATGATTCGGTAGAACTGATGGTGCCAGTAAATTGAATCTCAGGCTTTCCATTATGAGTAAATGCCTCATTGATAATCTTTGAAAGCGTCACTATGAAAAAATGAACCAAGTGTTTTATACCAACAGGTCAGCGGTGAATGTACAACAATTATAGTAGCCCATCGTCTATCCACAATAAGACGTGCTAATGTTATAATTTTTATTTCCAACGGAAAAGTTGTCGAGAAGGGAACACATTGTGAACTGATGGCAGCTAAAGGAGATTATCACAAAATGGTGCTAGCTCAAGGGAAAAACGAAGAACAAAAAGGTTAGTTTCCACCAATGAAGACACAAAAATTCATTTTCGTCTCTCATTAACTAGGCAACAATGTGTTATCTAATACACATTTAGATAAATTGTAACAAAAATAATTTTAAAAGAATTAATGACTTTTTTGAATTATTCCGAAAATTTTAGTAATGATAGTAATGCTAATTTATTCGTCCTTCAAATATGGCCGTTGATGAATATCTCTCCAATATTTTCACTATAAACGCTGGTGTTCCACATAGATCCATATTGTCTCCAACCAATCAGACAGCTCAAAATTCTTTACCAAAGTTTGATAGAATCACACCTTAAATATGGAATAGTCCGATGGGGAGGGGTTTCTAAAACCTATTTAAAGCTACTTGAAGTAACGCCAAAGCGATTTCTATAAATGCAACTTTTCAAAAACAACAGATACGCAAGTGACTCTCTGTTTAAAATCTGTTTTTCCATTAATCAGCTGTCGCCCCCATTCGAACGACACCTCTCAGAAGTTGAGAAACTTGTGCGAGCTAAGGACTAACGAGGTCTTACCTTTTAACGTGTGATTCCTAACACGGCTGCAGAATCTCTCTATGAAGAGTTTGAGATTTTTGATATCAGACAAATATTCTTTTACCACATCGCTACAACTCAGTTCTTCAATAAGACAGAACTCATTAAACCTTCTCATACCTATACTACGAGACAGAAAAATGATTATTTAGTGCCTTTCGCTTTGAAATCAATAGGCCAAGAATATATCAAAAATAGGATCAATATTTATCACCAAAAGTATTTAATCTCCTTTCCGAAACACTGCAAAACGAAACTTCAGCATTCAGATGCAAAAAAGATACAAAACTATTTATAAAACAATCGCCTCTTCATTGTATTCGGTCAATAATTGAAAATTGAAAGTAATTTTAGAATACATAATGTTATCCTAAGTGCACTTAGTAACTGTATATCAGTATATTCGAGAATTTGGAAGCCCTAAAAGTTCATATTTTTTGTCTCGATATTTATTATTCAACATTTTACATGTTCACACTTTTATACAGGTCTTTTTTTAGCTGATACCACTATTGCTATTTCGGAAACGGTAGGTCGTACAAGGACGGTTAAATGAAGTAAAAGTTACCTTTTTAGGGATGCAACACAATGTTATTTTCAGATCCATTTTCAATAATATAACAAACTGATAAAGAAACTTTTTGCTTTATTTCATGTGCTTTATGATCTGGGTGAACTCATTTTTCAATGCAACGTTTCGTTCATTGAATTCCATAATCAATTTTTTTTACGGACTTGTATATTGTGTTATACATTTTCGTAGTCATCATAATTACAAATTCGTTGATATATCACAACATCTATATTTTCCGATGTTTCCTCCCGAAACCACATCCTCACTATTTTTTATTAAGAGCTCGAATTTCCGATTGTTACTGAAATCCTGAGTTCTTCTGTCGATATGGTCGTTCATTGAGATTATAAATATTTGTATTCACTGAAAACCAACTAAATTTCTATCAGGGTGGTCTTGAAAAAGAGAGACCAATAATCTTTGTATCAATACCAAGCCATTCATAATTACCAAAATTCTTTTGAAAACTTGTAGCTACCCAAAAATTCCTGTTCAGAAAATGAGGATATCAACAAGAATTAACTAATAAAAATACTGTATTAAAAAAGTCATAGATGATTTTCACGAGAAACATGATAAGCGATCATTTCTTTTTCTGAAGTAAGCCATGAAATACATGAATGTGAATGTCAAGTTAATAGTCACACTCAAAATAAAAGTTATTCAATTCGTTGAGCTACTTTAAGTGAGAAACATGAATATTTCCAATGACGAAAAAGTGGATATGCTTTTTGTTTATAAGAGATGTTTGAGGAATGCTACCAAATCTCTGGCAATGTATCAGGAATTGTATCCTGAACGACGACAACCTAATCATAGATATTTTCAACGAATCGAAAATACTTATGGATCTTTTGAAAAACCCTCCGAAAGAAAATGTACGGTTACTGAATATGGTGGCAATAATGAGATCGGCGTTTTAGGTGAGTTCAAAGAAGATTCACAATAATGATAAAGTGACATCAATTTGATTCAAGATTGATAGAAAATAAAAAATTGAGAACAAGGAAGTATCTCTGAGGGAGATTGCTCATAATTCGGCCATATCCACTACGTTTGTACGAAAAATTTTGAAGAAAAATAAATTCAAGCCTTATCGAGTCAGGAAAGTTCATCATTTGCGTTTAACGGACTTCAACAGGAGAAAAGTTTTTTGTAGATGGCTCATTAGATAATTTCGCCAAGACAATGAAATTTGTAAAAAAAATGTGGTGAACATTTACCAATAACGTATGGTTCAACAGTAATATACATTATCATTGGCGACAAAAAAACTTATGGCTTGTTGTTTTTGATAATAAAATCATTGGCCCCCACTTTTTTGAAACATCTCTGACCGGGAAATAATACTTGGATTTCTTATCAGGGACTCTAATATGAGTATTTCCAACACGACGAAGCTCCACCACATTGCGGTAGAATCTGCAGAGATTTCCTCAATACAACTGTGCCAGGAAGTTGAATAGAAAATAATGGTTCTATTGAATGGCCACCACGTTCACTGGACCTTTCTCTTCTGGATTTTTCGTTGTGGGGCTTCATAAAAAACAAATTTTGAAAATATTGAAGAATTGAAAGATAATTTGAATATTTGATGCGATATCACGTGAGACGGTAACATAAAAAATGTGACGTGAGATATTCCGTTATGGTGTTCATTTCCTATCACTTATTATTTCGTTACTTTTAATTTCGCAACTCTCTTTTTGTTAATGTGATGTATTAAGGATACTGTTAACTATGTGTTTCAGTAATACTTTGATATTTGATTTCTCATTGAATGAAAAAAGTTGAATGATAGAATATTGATGATGTGGTTTCGGGAAGAAACGTCGGGAAATATAGATGTTGAGATATATCAATTTGCAATTATAATGACTACGAAAATGTATAAAACAATATACAGGTTCATATTTTAAAAAAAATGTTGATGATGGAATTCAATTACCGAAACGTTGCATTGAAAAATTAGTTCACTCAGATTATGAAGCACATGAAATAAAGCAAAAAGTTTGTTTGTCATTTTATGATATTATTGAAAATGGAGGCGGAAGAGCAAAAAAATAAAATCTGTCATTTTCAGTTTTTTGCAAATATCTCAGAAACCGTTGATGATTTTATAGATCTGAAAACACCAGTGTGTTGCATCCCTGAATAGGCAACTTTCGTTTTTTTTAACCGTCCTTGTAGGATCTACCGTTTCCGAGGTAGCAATAGTGGTATCAGTAAAAAATATGGACTGTATATATAAAAACACATTTGAAAGTCTTTTACATTATTAACTCTTAAAAAGTTCAAAACCAATTATATTATATATATGCAGTATCTTTAATTCGTAATTATATAACCTGCCATTAATGTAATGCGTATAAGCGTACATTTTATATGAGAGTGTGTGTATTTGTGTGAATTTATTTTAATAATTATACTCAGTTTACTCCCACAATAATTGTATACTTGATTTTATTGTTAGTAATTTTAGTATACTAAAATCGAATAATTTGTTTGTATATACTCATGATGTATATGCCCACACATAAGCAGTACCTACTGCTTCCGTGGTATATTCTTGTTTATTCACAATAATGCTGCATTTGTTAAATTATACTCTGTAATTATTCTTCTTTTGTGAACAAAAAAAAATAGTTCAAACAATAGTGTTCCATTTTTTAGAAATGTCTACAAGTGTTGGAGGAATAACTATTCAGGAAAAATTGCAACAAATTGATACAAATGAAGAACAAACATGTGTGAGTTATACTTTCAGTGAATTCGTCAACAAAAACTCATAATGAATGTTCCATGTATACAGGAGTCAAAAGAAAAAGTTATGGGGTCAATGTCGAAGATTCTCGAAATGTCTCGACCAGAGTGGAAACAAATAGTTTGCGGATGTTTTGGATCCGTGGTAAATGGTATCACTTTGCCACTTTATGGTATTTTATTTGGATCTATGATTAAGGTACGTCTAATGGTACTGTAAATTCACAGGATCTACCAATTCACTAATGATATTTGCTACGCAGAAGTACAAGCACGTCATTGCGCAACCTTCTATATCACATTTTCACAATGATCGCGCATAGTCGAAAACCAGGTTTTTATGTAGGTACTTGCTGTATTGAGGATACCTAGGTAATATATCCATAAATACAATGACATGCTCTGTATTGTCATGGCGGACAAATATTAATACGTAGCTATAGTTTTTTTTAATAAAATATGCTTATTATTGTTCAACGAATCCTATCCAATCTACTGGAGAGGATGTTATCCTGTTCCTGTTGAACTGAACAGTTGTTTCTGTACAGTTCAATGATAAATAAAGGGGAATATTATTTTTTGTTAAACATCAATTATTTAAGTAATCGAAATGTGAAATTAGTGTAAGCCTCAAATAACAAATAAAAATATTGTCGGTAGATAGACAGATAGTATGTGAATATTCACCATTTCAGGTACTGTCCAATGTTGACGATGAAAATGTCATCACACAGAGAAATCGTATTTGTTTATATTCCTGCATCATTGGTGTTATATGTGGATTATCACATTTCCTTCAGGTGATATATCAACAGCTTTTTTTTCCAATCACTTAATGAATATTTTCAGCATTTTTTCTTGTCTTCGGCCAGTGAAAACCTCACACTGCGAATTAGAAAAATGGCATTTCGTACCATGCTGAAACAAGAAATTTCTTGGTACGACAGAACAGAGAATAGCGTCGGTTCACTGTGCTCAAAGTTATCAGGAGATGCATCTAGTGTGCAAGGGGTATGATTATAGTGTATTAAAAAACTATTCGATTTTGATGTTTTCATGAAAAGCCTGAAGTTCAAGCATTCACAAGGGTGTAAAGGCTATTTTTCGGGGTTTTTGGCCATGAACTGCAGGTTTTTGCCTGACGTTTCGTTAACAATTGCGGTAGCCATTATCAAAGACGATAAGGTAACGGTCAAAGTATTTGAGTTCTTCTCAACGCCAAACTAAAATATTTGAATTTGTATTCGGTTTCATATCATCATTGTAGGCGTGGCTTAGTTTCCTTTAATTGAATTGAATGACCTTGTTATCCACAAATTAGAATAGGTAGCCACATTTTACTAATGTTCATTGCCTGAAATTATCTGTGTTTCTGAATTTCTATATAGAGAAGCAATAGACATTCATAATACAGGGGTAATTTCGATAGAAAGAAAGAGACAATGGGCATTAGTGAAATCTGGCTACCTGTCCTCAACTGAAAACACATAAGGAAATTCATTCCGGTTACGAGAAATCAAGCCACTCTCAACAAATCCACAACTCAGACTGCTTACAAGATTGTGAATGACATACTGGAGGGTCTTGATCAGTGCAAACACACTAACTTGACTTTATGCAACTTGCCCAAAGCTTTTGAATGTGTATCACATGCGATACTCATCGAAAAATTGAGTCACTTTGGTTTGAGAGGTACCATTTTGAGTCTCTCCAGCTCCTATCTGGAAAACAGGTATCAATGTGTTGATTTAATAATGACAAATCCGACATTGAACCAACACAACATGGAGTACAACAGGGTTCGATACTTGGACCTCTTGTATTCATTGTATACATAAACGACCGATGTCGAAGTATTACTCCAACAAAATGTATTCATGAAAGAGATATGAAAATTTCTAAGTTTTTTACCACTTTTAATTGTTACTAACGTTACTGCAGTTTCGTCCTATATGGACATTCTCAAACTGATACAATAAATAATACAATAAAAAGTTTATTGTATTAGTTTGAGAATGTCCACGAAACTGAAACGAAACTGCAGTAACGTTAGTTACAATTAAAAGTGGTGAAAAACATACAAATTTTCATTTCTCTTTTCATTATTATCTCCTACCACGTAGTAACGGATACATCCATCAATTTATTAAAATGTATTCAATTTGCTGATGACGCCAGTCTTGTGAAATCGAATGAGTCGCACATAGATTTGATTCAAACTGTTAACGAGAACAAAAACTTAGTCAAAAGCTGGTTCACACAGAAAATACTCAAATCAAATGGAAGTGAAACAAAGAAGTTAATTGTCTCTTCAAATCCACTCTATTATGAAAGTCAAAATGAATATTTTCTTGGTATAATTATCGACGATCAGTCAAACTGGTCCAGCCGAGTAGATTGTGTACTTCGTTAGCTCTCTACACTTTCATTTGTTCTAAGAAAACTCTAACCAGTAAACAGTCTGAACGTATTTTATTCTATATTTTCATACGGTATTCTACTTTGGGGCAACTCAAGTAATGCTATAATGGTATTCCGATACCATAAAACAGCCATTTGTATTTTAGCAACTAAAGGGTATATTGATCACTATCATCAACACTATTACTTTTTTTTGAAGACAGAAACACAAGCACTACAGAAAACTAGCTGGAGATCAAAAAGATAGGATCTTTCATATGAAAAAATTAATTTCACTGGAGCATCCCTTGTTAAGATACAGCCCCTTAAAGGAGGCTGTATAAAATTTGTATAACTATTTTTTTCACAAGCACTAAAAAAGTTACAATATTGAAATTGTCCTGACGTTTTGTTCTACCAAAAAGACACTCAGCCATAAATTTATTTGATTTACCCCATGATTGTAGGGGGTGGAAAACGCAACCCCTAAAATTTATTTCCAATGTAACTTTTTGTCTTATCATTTGTTTACCATTTGAAAATATATTTCTGATAGCCTGTTTTATTCTAAACAAAAAATGTCTCTTGGGTTTTTTGCCCAAAATAAACCAGTTCGCAGCAAAAAATTATTTTACGAACAACTACAGAGATACATCGTCATAAAGGCGAAAATACGAAACTAATCTATCTAGTAGGTCGCTATTAGCGATAGTGATAATTGAATTGGTATGACGCTGTCAGTTTGTGAATTTTCGAAATTGAATTATAACTAATTGTGTGTTGCTGTTCTGTTCTTAATTTGTTACTTTAATAATTCACTTGTTATTACACAAATGAGGAAATGGCTGATATGCATTACGTTTACGGTCTGTCGCTGGGGAATGGGTTGGAAGCTTCTCGAAGATATGCTGATATGTATCCTCAATGGCAGCATCCTTCACATAGAATATTTGCTCGACTTCATCAACGATTACCAAAATATGGTTCATTCGACGAAAGAACGCAGGATTGTGGTCGCCATTGAGAAGTACGAACACCACAGCTTGAGGAAGCAGTACTCAATTTGATTGAAGAACAACCTACTACCAGTACTAGGAAGATTGCTTTCCAGCTAAATGTTGATCATATGACGGTATTTCGAATTTTGAAGGAACAACTCTTATACCCTTACCATCTGCAACGAGTACAGGCACTGTTACCGCGAGACTTTCCGAACCGTCTTGAATTTTGCAATTGGATGCTGGAAATGATTAGAAGAAATTGTGACTTTCTCAAGACGATGGAATTCACAGACGAATGTAGTTTTTCTCGGGACAAGATTAATAATTTTCATAATTACCACATATGGCCTGATGAAAACCCTCACGCTATTGTCGAAACTTACCATCAAGAACAGTTTTCTCTCAACGTGTGGCTCGGAGTTATTGGGGATGATTCAATTGGGCCTCATTTTCTACCTCCTCGATCAAATGGTGAGGCGTACGTTCAATTTTTAAGAGAAGTGCATCCAGTACTGCTGGAGGAAGTCCCTTTGGGCGTCAGAAGGGATATGTTTTTTATGCATGATGGGCTCCCGCCCATTTTAGTCAAGTAGCACGTCAGCTTTCAAGTGAAAGATATTCAAATCAGTGGATAGGTCGAGAGGGACCACAGAACTGGCCCGCTTGATCTTCGGATCTCAATTCTCTTGATTTCTCTATTTGGGGCCATTTACAGCATTTGGTTTATCGTACTCTAACAAATAATAAGACAAAAAGTTACTTTGGAAATAAATTTTAGGGGTTGCGTTTTCCACCCCTTACAACCATGGGGTAAACCAAATAAATTACTGTCTGACTGTCTTTTTGGTAGTACGAAACGTCAGGTTAATTTCAATATTGTAACTTCTTCAGAGCTTGTGAAATAAATTGTTATACAAATTTCATGTACCCCATTTAAGGGGCTGTAATTTAACAAGGGAGGCTCCAATGAAGTTTCTTTATATGAAAGATCTTTTTTTTGATGAGGAATCACCTCCTCGAATGTTTTACACTTATTCAGTTACACCCTGTATATTGGATTCTTGGTTCTTTCCAATAAGTCATTGTTATATAATAAAAAGAGGGTTGGAGACAATATGGATCCCTGGGGAACACCAGCGTTGATGGTGAAAGTATTCGAGAGATATCCATAGACGGCCACTTGCAGCGATAGCCATAGCACTGAAGTTTGGCCAGCAAATCCTCATGCCACACACGGTCAAAGGCTTTTGGAATATCAAGCGCAACAGCTTTTGATTCTCCATCTTTCTCGATTACGTTACTCCAAATATGGGTGACATACGATGAAAGGTCGCCTGTTGATCTTTGTTTCAGAAAGCCATATTGATGATCGCTTAGGATGTTGAAGCCTTCCAAATATTTGAGGATATGGTGGTTAACGACTTTCTACATGATTTTTGATATATATAACTGATAGTAAAACGACTGAGGGACGTTTTGGAATAGGCTGAATGTGAGCAATCTTTCAACAAGAAGGAAAACCCCCTTTCTTGTAAGACACCAGTATTTTGCCTATCTTGTAAGATAAGATAGGCAAAATACTGGTGCAAGTTCTTTTGTGCACATTTCAAGTACGATGACGGGGACTTCATCAGGGCCAAACGCCTTGTTGATATTGAGCTGTTTCAAAAATCGACTGACGAAACGCTGTCGAAAAGTAATTTCCAGCATTTTGGATTCGATTTGATGCCTTCATTATACGTATACATCGTTCTGTTCAACAATTTCAGAAAACACTACATATATCAATATACCACAACATAAATTTTCTATAATATTCTCGATAAATCGATGGTCGGTCGGTAACCAGACGGTTCGACGTGGGTGCTTCATTCACACACTCGAATTGACTGCCGTGTTGGTCGGTGGTTCAAGCCCCAGTCTGAACGATCGATTTTCACTTGCTATCATCCAACCCGTGTTAGAAATCACACGTTAAAAGGTAAGACTTCGTTAATCCTTATCTCGCACAAGTTTCGACTTCTGAGGGTTGTCGTTCGTAGGGGTGCGACAGCTGGTTAACGTTAAAACAGATTACAAACAGGCATATTCAAATAGAACACTGGAATTCACTGAATTCAAAACAGCCATCAAAAAGTTTCTCATTGACAAATGTTTCTAAAATATAATGAAATATTTGAACCAAGCAAATTCATCAAGATACCAATGATATATTATCTTTCAGCATCAAATGATCATATGGTGAGCCAATAATTATTTTAGGATAATAATTTATATGTACTTCTTTTGTGTTTAACATTATTATCATTGCAATATATGTACTGTGACCTGCTAAAAATGTATTTATTCGTAAGCTGGTTGAATAATTCTCTATTCTATAAAATCAGAGACGAATCCCAACATTAAAGTTTCTGCGTTGAGAACAACTAGAATATTTAAGTGTTCTCTCATTGTTTCTGATAATGTCTACCGCAGTAGCAGACGAAACGTCAGGTATAAAAACGTGCAGACCCCGTCTAATGAATCCGGAAACATCTCACAAATTGTTAGACACCAGCCTAAACATCATTTCCTTAGATTAATTGTTGTCAACATGGTTTTAACTCCAAAGAAACTAATTTTCATATTTATAGGCTGCCGGGGTACAGATAGGATCGTGTCTTCAATTTCTAGCGACATTCTTGTTATCCTGCTTCTATCCATTGTACCTCAATTGGAAGTTGACACTTGTTTTACTATCGTTTTTTCCACTCATTCTCCTTTTTGTGTTTTTGGAAAAAAAAATCATTCAAAATGACGCAAAGGAAAACCAGAGGGTCATCGACGAGTCTACGAAGGTAAAAACCAGCTCTCTTATTTTATGATTGTTTCATAAAAACATAGTTTTACTCTGATTCAACAAAAACAGTTCTTCGACATCAGAACTATAACAATATTCTCGACGCGCATTTCGTCAGCCAAGTTGCATAATCAGTCTATGATCTGTACAGTTCAAGTCAAAATATAATTTCTTGTCTGAAGATATAGAAATCTCATAAACAAACGTCAACTGACTATTTACTAACAAAGATTTATTTTTAATTTCACTAAAAAAAGGTTCATAAAACCGAGACACGGCGAGTGCCTCAATGCCAATGTATTTTAACTGCAAAAAACACTTTTCAGTAGCTTTTTTGATGATAATGATAATAAAACACCATTGTTGCGTCTTTATTTGTAATTTTCTATTTTAATTAGTATTATTATTGTTGGCATGGAGCGACTTCTAAGGACGCATGCTCAAGACTCGATTTGAAGTATGCTTATCCATCTAAACCATATCAATAGAGACCTACCTACGATCTCATGCTAAGTACGCTACGTGAATCGCTATTATTTTCGCTAATTACTTATTTCGTTGTGTGTGCTCAAGTATCTGTGTCATCTTCGACTGTTTGGTAACTCACTTCAACTTCCCGTTTTGTTGTACAATCCAGTGAAGCTGAAGAAAGAACACTTCAAGAAAGGGCCCTTTCAGAAGCAGGAATTTGTGCGAGGAACTCGGTGAGTTCGCTTTATGCCACAATTCTTACAGTCCACTCTTGTTTTCATTTTAATTATTTTTTAAGTATTCGAAGTCGCGACAACAATAGTTTTCGAGGGTATGCGAAGTAATTTTGATGCAAAAATAGGTCAGAAAAGATCTTCACTGTGCAAGACAGGACATCTGGTGCACTGCAAATTTGGATATTGCCACGTTTTACTACATGGGCTGAAAAGTCTCAGGTGTAACACATAGATGGCGCTAATTCCATTGCATTCACTGCTCAGTTAGTACCAATCTTCGAAAGGAAGAGTGACATAAGACTCAGGCGATAACCATGGGCAGATTGCTATCTTCTGCTGCCAGAAAAGTGAGAATCTCTGGAAGGAATATTGACTGGCAAGCGCTGATAAAGTACCTCGGCCTTCTAATAGACCGTAGGCATACTTGGAACCCGCACATTACGTGTGTTAAAACAAAGATCGAAGGTCGGATAGCTAGTCTGAACACCTGATCAACAGGAAATTGAGTCTTAAAAACGAAATTACTATCTACAATACAATGTTCAAGCATGTCATCAGGCGTCTGGTAACAAGCGGCTCCGTCTAACATCTCCATCCGCGGTTCGTGCGGAACGAAGCCATCCGCAGAGATTTGCAGCTACCTTCCATTCAGCAGTCCATTCAGTCGAGGAATCGGCGAGTTTTTGATGGTGCGGAAAGTCACGAAAATCCGTTAGTTAGGGAAGCTATAGTTAGAAGACCCCTCACGATATAGAAGGTCCCGACACTCTGTCGTATGAGGCCCTCATGTCCCCCGTTAACGGATGGATAGATTTTTCATCCGTCATACCCAGCCAGGTAGGGGTACCCCGTGAAGGGTGGTACTGCCTTTCGTACCGCCAATATCTCCTTAGTCATGAACCCATTTGTATTTCTGACAAATCAGCTAAAACGGTAAGGGAGCTGGGCTCCAATCTGTATGAACTGAAGACGCTTGGTCAGCACCAAGAATGGCACTACTTTTATTATTTTCAAAACAACGGATCAAACTCAATTTCATGTCTTGATTTTACACTGCTTTTCGATAGGAAAAAGTACCGTTCAAGCGAAGCAATGGCTTGAAAAGTGTTATAATGACTCCGCTTCATCATAAACAACAATTAAACGTTGGTTTTCTGACTTCAAACGTGATCGTAGAGACACCGATGATGTAGAATGCAGTAGACGTCCAATTGAGGCAGTTACATCAGAAAATATCAAAACAAAAAATTACAAAATCGTGCACTTGACCAACAACAAAAACGTCTTGACGATTCTGAACAGTGTTTGGCCATGTGGAATTTTTGTGTCAATATGTGGCAATGGATGAAACATGGATCCATCACTTCACTCCGGAATCAAAACAATCGTCATCTAAGTGGAGACCAACTGGTGAAGCTCGTCCAAAGCATCCGAAAACACAACAATCAATTAAAAAGGTTATGACCTCGATTTCTGGAGTGTGCGTGGTGTCGGAAAAACGACCCCATTTGAAGAAAAACAAATTGCCGCTTCATCATGGCAATGCACAATATCACAAATCAATGAAAACGGTGGCAAAATTGCATGAATTGCAACTAAGGACGAATTCTTCACGCAAGATGAGGGACTGCCAATGGGAATGGAGTGGTTTGAAACTTTGGCCATTGAAGAAGCCCAGAAGAAGACCCGAGTCTGGTTGAGATATATAGACGACACCTTCATAATATGGAACCATGGGAATGCATAACTAAACAATTTCCTGAAGCACATCAACAACGTAAGGCCTTCCATCACTTTCACAATGGAGAAGGGAATCCATCCAGACGTATTGGTGAAGAGAACCGACACTGAATTTCTGAACCAGAAATCCAACCACCCTCAATTGACTAAGAGAGGAATCATCAAGACTCTACTAGACCGTGCTTTTGGGCTCTGTAATACAAAGGAAGGTCTCGAAAAGGAACTAGGCATCATCAAAAAAGACCTTCAACGGAATGGTTACTCAGTGATAGTAGAACAGGCCTTAGCTAGAAGACAGCAAGAACTCCACAAGGAAGAGAAGCCGCCACAACCAGTACTTGTACTTCCCTACATCAGAGGATTATCGGAAAGGATATGACGGATTGGGTCCAAGTATAACATCTGGACCTGCTTCAGATCTTGGAACACTATCCGTAACAGCCTCACGGAAACCAGGCCACCAAACGCAGACTGCGATTCCAAGAATTGTGGATACCCTGCGAGTGCCGAGAATCATACATCGTGAAACTAAGACGCCATTGAAAGTTCGCATTGCTGAGCACAAGAAACACACACAGAGGGGAGAAACTAGCAAATCCGGAATAGCAGAGCATCTTTGAACTCATCAACACAACATCAAGTGGGCTCAAGCTGAAATCATCCACAAAGAGGAACACTGGTTTAGGAGAAAATTCAAGGAAGCAGCGTATATGTTGTCCAACAATGAATTTAGTCAAGCTAGCGTAGAGATACGTAACATATGGAAACCTCCAATCAAGCAAAAAACGACCAACTCCCGCCAAACGGTCATCTCCCGCCAAAATCAAAGAAGCGGAAAGAGGGAAGAGGGGATAAATGAAAGCACTCGAATGATCTCTAAATAGTCAGATCTCGGAAGAATAAGTCCAGTTATCACCCGAAGATGATTGTGGATACTAACAATCGAAACGTTGTGACATAACTTGGTTTGAACTCTTTTAATTTTTATTTTTTCATTTTTTGTTAATGATTTTTTTAATTTTTTCAGCTTTCATTATTATTTCAATTTTTATTCATTTAGTTGTTGTTGTATGTAATTTCTTTGTAATTTCAGTGTTATGACTAATAAAATTGTTATTTTCGGTTAATCTTTTTGATTATTTCCAGGGTTATCAAATCAATTTATATCATATCAGACAATGGAAGTCCGAACTGATGAAATGCATGAAATGGACTTCGAATTTTTCCCTCATATACCATATTTGCCAGATTTTGCTCCCAGCGACTACTGACTGTTCTCAGACCTCAAAAAAATACTCATCGATGAGAAATTTTGCTCAGATGAAGAGGTTATTGTTGAAACTGAGGCTTATTCTGAGGCAAAAGATGAATTGTTCTACAAAAGTGGTATAGAAGTGTTAGAGCGGCGCTGAAATGTTGTGGAGCTCTTGATGAAGAGCAAGTTGAGGAATGAAGCGAATTTTGAACAAAAAAACGCGTTTTCTCTCTTAGGTCCCGGACTTTTCAGCTGAGGTGTTATTTCGATTGAAACCTTCAATGTCTACTACGTATAAATAGCAATCATTGAAATGTTTCTTGGGCTTGATCCAGATTATAGGGATACCAGAATTCAACCCGTTTCGTTTTTCTTGCCACAACAAACTTCAAGATTCGCACATGATATACCTTATGAGGAACCAATGGCTCATCTAGTTTTTCAATATGAAGTCCTGTTGAATTAGATTCCATTAAGTGATTATGTTTTGTCCTCGTTTATTTATGTTCTATTGATTAAAAAAAATTATGTATAGTTGCTATAAATAAAGTTAATGTTTTTGCTGTAGCTGAAATTCGCCCACAACTTTATCATTCATATAAAAAGTACTCTGTGTTGAATTAGTCCCTACAACAGGTTATGGGCTCAGAGTACCTTGCTCTGCATATCTGAAGAAAGTATAAAGTATTTGCTGCATTTTCAACGAAAATAATACGCTACACGGTTCCGGGCTCTGTTATTATCTAGAAGAGTGTTACAGTTCCGATGAGTGGGAGATTGTTTTTGGATGCATTGAACATCAGAGGTTTTATCTTCAGCTGTCATTTTAAATTTATAGTTTGCAGTTGAGGCTATCACCAATATAAGGACAGTAATCTCTCTGGGATGTGAGCCAGTGTTCCTTGATTTATTTCAGAGGGAGCTCGTTATCTACCAAAAGATGGCACATATAAAATCCCACATTCGCGGGCTGTTCCTAGGATTTGCACGCAGTATTCATTTTTTCACTTATTCGGCAGCTTTCACGTATGGAGTGAACCTTATAGAGACAAAGGAGATAGAATATGATAAGTTGTTCACGTGAGTACCAAACATTTTTTTGTCTTGAAGATATTCACTACCTAGTTCACTGAAAATGATATGAAAGCCCGAGTAAAATATTTTTGCCTGTTTTAAAAACATATTACACTTCAAACAAACATGTCTGAGCTTTCATTGATTTCCATATGGAACCAAAATAAAAAATTGGAATTCAATATGCTTTTTGATCCTTCAAAAACCAGTTTTTTTCAGTATAGCGCAAGTTACCTTGTCTGGTGCATGGTCCATAGGAATTGCCCTCTCTTTCACTCCTAATTTTCAGAAGGGTTTTTTGGCAGCTGGGAGACTATATTCTCTGCTGGGAAGGGTTCCGACCATCAAGAATATCGTCAACGCTGACAGAAATATTTGGGTGAGTTTATCTTGATGTTATTTTTTTCTCCAAACAATAGTGAGTTTTTTTGCATTCCTCAGAAAATAGTTTCAGTTTAATTGTGTTTATCAAACATGAGGCGAAAATTCAAGGGACTATCCTTGGATTATTCTAGAGATATTTTGTTTTATATGATTTTTGATAGAGCGCTTGTTTTCGAAGATACGCAGCGAAAAAAATTTCGACATAACAATTCACTACCGAAAATTGTATGTAATGTTTCTAAATCTACAAGAACTGTTGAAAACGACTACCCCCGGCTCAGATGCAAGAACCCAATCTTCTCATCATCAACTCCCGAACTCTTTCAAAAACACCAGGCTCGTTTCTGATTGCGTTACACCCAGCAATTATCGGATTTCTCAAATCTTCCACTGGAGTAGTATAAACTAATGACTTCGGGGGGCCTCATAGTAAATGATCCAAGGGGATTCAGTCCTGTGATCGAGTAGGCCATAAGTGAGGTCCACCTCGACCAATCCAGCGATTTCCGTTTGTTACTGTTAAAAACTCTCAAGCCAATATGCTAAAATGCACCTCATATGGATTTTCTCCAGCCCAAACATGGTTATTGCGGAAATTCTTCATGGCATTTCTATAGAAATTGGCTTCATCGGTAGAAAGAATAAGCGTCAGTAGTTGAGGGATTTGAACCAATGTGCGCAAAAGTCATTGACAAAATGCAACTCGTGGTAGAAATTCTGCAGGAAGAAGTTCCTGAAATCGTTGTATGTGGTATGGGTACAACAAATATTCTCTAAGAATGTTCCAAATCGTCCCGTTACTTAAATTCAAATCATTTCAAAATAATAATAATAATAATAAATCGGCTTTATTGATAATACAAAAAAAAACAATACAAAGATATTTTTGAAAATGAAAATAGTTTACAGGAGATTCTGGTACTCCTTGGCGAAGTCTAGCTCAAAGCTACTCTAACTCAACCAACAAGCACCAATCCATAATGCACGCAATTAACCGTGATGGTACCACGGAATGAGAACCCTAAATAAAATAATAATTTGTGATTACCTTCTAAAGATAGTTGATAAATAATTTAATTGAATTGATCTGTTGTCTAAAAAGTAAAAGTTGACATTACTGACTATCAAAGATATAATTTTTATATTTGTATTTGAATTTCCTGATATTGAATCTCTTCAATTGCTCAGGCAATGAATTATAGAGTTTTACAGCACCAAAAAGAAATGATCTCTGAAACTGTGCAGTGCGATGTTGTGGCATAGTTAATTTGTTTTTATGTCTGATGTTTCTTGAGTGAATATTTTCACGCAGAATTAGTTTTTGCATTAAAAGAGGAGAATGGGGAAGGGTGATCAATTTATGGACAAAACAACCCAAATGATGAATCATACGGTTTTTCATATTGAGCCAGCGGGAGTTTTTAAAGGCTTCAGAAATTGAATCATACTTACGAAGTCCATAAATTAGGCGGCAACAAGAATTTTGCACTTTTCGTATTCTTTTTTATCTGAATCATATAAGTATAGCCCATATATGAAGTCACAGTAGTTGAAATGGCTTAGCACCAAACTATCACAGAGCATTCTTTTTAGAGGTTGGCTCAAAATAAAACGATTACAGTATAACAGTTTCAATGACATATAAGCTTTTTTCATTAAATTTTTAACATGACTAGTAAATCTAAGATCAGTGTCAAGCATGACCCCTAAGTTTTTAGCTGTATTGACAGGAGTCAAGATAGTATAACCTAGTTCTAAACGGAAATTGTTTTCTGCAAATTTACGATTCTTCTGCGATCCAAAGTGCATCATCATTGTTTTATTAGGATTAATTTTCAAATCATGTTCACTTGATAGCCCATTGATCAAATCAAGATCAGTGTTGAAGAGATTTTGTGCCTCAGCACACTCATCGATTTCAAAGTGCATGTATAATTGTATGTCATCAGCATACGCCTGTATTTTACATTTCTTGATGGACGAGATAATGTTAGTAGTATAAATGATGAACAATAAAGGTCCCAAAATGGAACCCTGTGGTACTCCTGATAGAATATCAAGAGGTAAGGAGTGATGACCATCAACAACAACTTTTTGAGATCGACCAAGTAAATAAGACCAGATGAGAAATAAGGCAGCACTATCAAAACCATAATATTTGAGTTTCATGCAAATCAGCTCATGATTGATGGTATCGAATGCTTTCGAAAAATCTAGTAGTACCAGAGTGCTAATCATTCCCTTATCAATTTTTGGACTAGAGGTACCTGTATCTACTTTCATGGCGATCACATCCTCTTCTACTCTTACCATTCTTACTGTCATTGGTTTTGTCCTCCATTTCTTTTCAATACTCCTGTTTCACGAAGTCGTTGATGTTTTTCTGTAGAGCACATTACGATTAGAAAATCGTTCACTGTTCAACCGCCTAGCTTCTAATGAATGGCCATCGGCAAGTCCATAAATGAAATGCATGTCAGCCATCTCCGCGTTACTATAGCCATTCATGATAGAGGACTTCACTCACAAGAATTAATAATAATAATGATAATAATAATCAGAAGGTTTGTTCTGGTTCTGCGAAATTCAGGTTCTAGGACGTCACTATCATGCGCAGTTGATATAGAGCGTTCTGGTTTATTGAGGATAATTTTGGACTCTTGAATCCTCTGTTCTGGTTTCGACTGCGAAATGATCCTTAACTGTTTTGAACCGTCCCGAATCATTCTTGCTCTCGAGGATGAACTGTTGAGAACTGTTCCCGTTGCTCATGCGCATTCATCTGGAAATTTGTTTGGGCTATTTGCTAGGATGTTTTTTATTTATATGATTTGAATAATTGATGATTGAGGGTAGATAACATTTGAACTGACTATAGGGATACGCTACGTAACAAAATGGACATGATTAATAGTATTTTCTCGTTTTCATTTCTTCATATATACGATAGGTGGCACAGTGGTCTCCTCAAAAGCGTTCTGGTTTGAACAAGTGTCCGAGACTATTTCGGACTGTTTGAGATTTTTTGTTTGTACGCACCATGTCTTGCGAAGTTTACAAACAGTTTCGGATGTTAGAACCAGAATAAACCTAGAGTAAAGTCTTTCCTATTATTAAATGCATAGGTCTAAGATAAATAAACTAATTTTTGTTAAGAGTCTGAAGTGGGAAGAGATATTTCTACATGAGTATGTACAGGGTATCCTAGCAATGAGTCGCAGAACCTTTTTTTGTACCGAGAAAACATCTTGTGCTAGTGTGGATCCACCCCAAAGGAGGAGGAACCCATATCGTATTCATGAAGCCACATGAGCATGATATGACATGAGTAATTGTTCACATGTGAGTACATCTCTGAGCTGACGAAACACAAAACAAAGAGAATTGATTTTTCTAATCAGATTATTACAGTGAAATTTCCAGTTTACACAATTGTGATGCCTGGAAATGTTGCTTTGTCAGTGTAACTTAATTTTTTATTGCCAACACTAACTGTTATATTAAAAATATTTTTCGGAACGTGATGATACCTCATGATATGTGTTTCCTTAGTATTGAAGAAAAGTGAATTTGCGCTACACCACGAATTTATATTACTCAATAATCGTTCACATTCCTCAGCAATAATATTTTCTTCATTCAAGATCAGTATGGATATATCATCTGCGTAAATAAGAAAGTGTGCATCTTTAGCTGAAGTGTCAATTCCGTTGATATAAAAAAAGGAACAGAATGGGCCCAAGTACTGAGCCTTGGGGAATTCCCTTATTTATATCGCCCATGGGTTCGCCCATGGTATACTGCGAATAGTCGTATAAAATCTGTGCTCCTGAAAATAATACCAAAAACTGAGTTACTGTGGTGTTTTGAGGCTTGAAAAAGGTCATTAAGTATTGAGAGTGCTGATCTTATATATCATAATAACAAATCATGGTTATAACCAGGGATATCAATCTTTTCTTTTCTATGTCAAAAATGTCATATACTGGATTAGTAGAATCTTAGTGAATCACGATAAGAAACAAATATTCAGCCAACAAAAACATCAGGCGAAGTCTGAGGTCAGCGAAGGACCCAGAGGACCTTCAGCAATGCCAGGGGTTACTGTATTCTGTATAGCTGCGGGTCGGTCTACATCGGAACCACGAAACGAAGTATAGGGACCCGTCTCTCCATACACAAGAGAAACTGTCGCCTCGGATAAACCGAAAAGTCGGATGTGGCCAAACTTGTTCTCAAACAAGAAGGTGCCCACATTATCTCATTCGAAGATACAGCAATATCTGAGTATACAGGGTGTTTCAAATTCGATCCTCACAATTGGGATCTCGGAAAATATGAGAGATACGAAGATGGTTGAATCGGGGCAAAGTTGCGTATTTACCTGACTAAGAACATGCTGTTTAGAAAGTTCCGAAATTCTGAGTATATCCGAAGATATCCGAAAGAGGATTCAAAAATAAATTGCTCTTTCACATTGACACTTTCTCCCTGCTACATAACAGTGTTTTTAGATTTGCTATCCGACGTTTCATCTCCCGGCCACCATGAACAACATTATTTTTCTTATGAGCGCTACATTGGAATCTTTCTGTTTTAAATTGAACCAGATTTTACCTTTTCAATGATGTATCATAAGTTATCATTCTTTCTCGAAAAATTGGAGATATTGAAGAAAATTAATTCTTATAATAGTATTTGACGCTCAGCGACATTTTGTTATTGTACAAGTCTTCGAAGTTTCGGCGAAAAATGACTTTCACGATTGAAGAAAAAAGAGATAGGATACAAATTCATCACAAATACGATATAAATAGGACATCGGAGATGTATTTAAACTTGTATCCTGAAAGACGACAACCACATCGAATTACGTTCAAAATCTCACCGAACTTGATTAGTTTGAAAAGCCAATAAGAAAATAAGGAAATAGAATCAACAATCGAAATTTTATAGATGTATATATGTATAGATGTATCCACAAACATATCCTTACTCCACTGAAACACATTATAAATCTCTGCTTCCTCAATGGAAAAATGCCTGAACAATGGAAAGAATCCGTAGTCACCCCAGTATTTAAAGCTGGGAAACGTAATATATTGACTAATTATCGGCCCATCTCTGTTAATAATAATTTTGCAAAACTATTCGAACATTCACTTAAGACAAGGCTAATCAAATTTTTGGATAAACACCACATAATAACCAGCTGTCAATATGGATTTCTGCAGAATTACAACACGGAGGATGCCATTTTGAATTTTGTTGGTAAGGTGGTGGGGTCCTTGGACAAATCGAATAAATGCCTAGCGGTCTTCCTTGATTTGGCCAAGGCTTTCGACACTGTCTCCCACAACAAATTACTAGAAAAAATGTGTAATTACGGTATTCGAGGATTATCACTAAGTCAATTTGAAAACTATCTGAACAATCGAGCACAGAGGATAAAGATAGGTGATAAGTTGAGCAATAAATCAATAATTGAGACAGGAGTGCCACAAGGAACAGTACTGGGTCCCATACTTTTTCTAATATATATAAATAGTATTGCAAACATTAATAACTTTGAAGGTCGAATGATCTGCTATGCTGACGATACAGCAATTATATTCACTGGCAGAAGCTGGGATGAAGTTTACAAAAAAACTGAAAGGGATCTGAAAAATATAAAAATCTGGTTGGATCACAACTTATTAAGCTTAAACGTTGCGAAAACGAAATATATCACCTTCTCACCTACGATAAGCGATCAACCTAATATAAAAATCAAATTACACTCTCCCAAATGCGAGGATTTTTATGGTTGTAACTGCCCTGACTTGCAAAAAGTTTCAGTCTTGAAATACCTTGGTGTCATGATTGACCAGCATATCAGGTGGTCTGACCATATTACCTATGTGATAAAACGACTAAGAGCTCTGATTCACAAATTTTATCTGCTACGAGATATTCTAACACGAAAAAATCTTATTATGTTATACAACTCGCTAGTTGAATCTACCCTAAGATACTGCATAACAATTTGGGGAGGTGATTTCACAAGCACACTACAAAACTTACAAACAACTCAGAACACTTTACTAAAAATTATACTTCACAAAAAAAAAACTCTTCTCTACTAAATTACTTTATCAGGATACTAATTTATTCCAAATAAGACAAACCTACATCTACCAGTGTCTCTTGCGAATGCATCAAAATCATGAACACTTTCCGAGAAAGCCCCTCAATACTAGAGCAGCATCTAATTTTAACGTCGAAGTCAATCATTTCAAAAAGGCTGTCACACAAAGATCATTCCTTTATTATGGACCGAAACTATTTAACATTATTCCAGCTGACATTAAAAAAATCCGCAATAAAAATAAATTTAAATATGAAATAAAGAAGCTTATTTTCAACAGTGCTACACAATTCAATATTTTCTGAGAAATCATCAGAATCCCTCCCAATCATCTAATCATAATCTTATGTTGTTCCTCATTAATTAATTAATTAATTAATTAGTTAATTAGTATTTTTCGTAATATTCCACTTACTGGTCTCTGTTCCAGGTTGTCTGCCTCTTGTAACTACCTACCTCTACATATCGCTTTTCTTTCCTTTTGTTATATAATTCTATTGTCTGAAATGGACAAAGACACAACAGGCACCTGTGCCTAGGTCGTCCTTTTCAGACACAATCTCTACCTTAAGTACCTTAAGTTAAGTTTGAAATGTAATAATTTATCTTATAATGTTATGTTATACATTATGTTTATGTTATGTTATGTTATGTTATTTATGTTATGTTATGTTATTTGACATGTTTAACACCTCTGCTATCTCTCTCACTCCAATTCGGCGGTCGTCTTGCACCGTTTGGTGAACTTTGGCAATGATTTCGTCGGTAGTTGCAGTTTTTGGACGTCCCGAACGTTCACCATCTCCCAATCTCTCACAGCCACTTATACATTCAGCTGCCAAAATTCCACTGGGGTAAATGATGGTGCACAGTCCCCATATACAGAATCCTACTCATCTTTGATATGCGTAGGCATATTACCTTTCAAAAACAAATATTTAATGACTTACTCAAACGTATGTTACATAACAACTGCCGGTCCAAAATGACTGAAACTTCAAACAGATGAACAACTAAATTCACTAGCTTTAATATACAAGAGCTGCTACTTTCATGTCGGAAACTTTTCAGACTACCCTCGTATATCTCCAGGAAAAAAAGTTATTTAGATTTGAAGTTTGAAACTACTGGAGCTATTTGAATCAAATCTTGTCTTCGAATGAATTTTCGTAATCTTCAATGCTTCCTCAGTGAAAATACATCGATCGGTGTTTTCTTCCTTTCACAAATCGCGTCGACTCCACAGATGCCGAGTGTTTGTTTCTCTTCTCGAAGCAATCCAAATCCTGCATTCAAGTGTCCACTCTCTCCACTTTCACGTTCGTGACTTGGCGTATTTATAAACGAATGAATAAGTACCTAACTTGCTTCTTTTTTTCAGAATACAACACCGATGAGGCACAAGTCCAATCACTTCTTGAATATCTCGTCAAACGCGATCAAACTGATCGAATTTGCGGTGTCACTACTGAACGAGAAGTTGAGGAGTAGAATTTTTGTAAGAATTTAAAAATATATTACTTGTTGATTTTGTTATCACCCTCCTTTCATTTACCTTTACAGATGTACAAGTCCACAGAAGAACTGTACGCCAACATTGACAAAAAAATTCTACCTAAAGAATATGGAGGGGAAGTCCCATTACAAGAAATGCTGGATAAATTCAAGGTTCTCCTGAAAGAAAAACGGGAATCCATCCTAGCTCTAGACGATATGTATATAGAAATAGACGAAAAAACATGTACGTTAGTGTCCGAGATGAATGAAGAACTCGGTATGGGCATTGAAGGCACCTTCAAGAAGCTTACTGTAGATTAGAATTACTTTTAGATTGATTAGTACCTAAAAAATACATGACATTTGGTATACATATATTTGCTTAAGTAATTTGCTTGAGTAATTAATTATTGTGATAAACATAGTATAGTTCTCAAACTTGTATATTTTATAAGTAAATGCTTTCACAACAGCTTTACATATTAGTAGTTTCTTATATGTGTGTTTGATTTATTTGTTGTCTGTCTCGAACTCTTCTTTTCGGAATGTTACCTTCTCTGTTTCCTTTTTTCAATTCTGAAGTCATAAAATGGAGGTGTAGTTTTGAGATATTTTTGTTAAAACTATCATTATTATTGTGTGTTCATAACTATTCTATTCTTTTACTCAGATATTCTGTGATTTACAAATTATTTCTTGAGTTTTATTTTCAGTCTGATTTAATTTTGAATTCTTCTCCTTTTATAAGTTTCAACTTTTGTGAATATGATTTCATTTTCGAACATTCTTTGTATTTTCTTTATTTTGTTTGTAACCAAAAAACTGATTAATTTTCTTGTGCGCCTCGTACACGATAATTGTTTTCTGTCGAATATAGTCGAGAGATCCATGTATATTATAATTTTTTTCGACCATGGTGGAATATTGTTACCTTATTTTTATAGTCTAGAATTTGCATTGTTATTATCAACCTACTTATAGATAAGAACTTGGAATAAATTGGAACACTTGTTATTGTTACTAGCTTATCGCATTGCGTGGTTATATGGTGATTTGAATATCATTGCCACATTCATTCTGATATTTTTATGGAGTTATCACCCACTCTTACGTGAAGCAAAGTCCCATAATTTGAAGTAGTTCATTTCAAGTTTAATGTTAAGATGTCCTCTGATTGTATTTTTGTTAATAAAAAGATTTATAAATCGAGAATATTTTATTGATAGATGAGAAATTTCTTTGGTACAATGGGAAAGTATTTCACATAAATTGCAATATTATAAATTTGTATGTCGAAGAAACTTCTTTTTGAAACGTGCCATCTTCAAAGTGATTGCCAAATTATCAACAAATATCAGCGCCTCTATCAGACAATAACTGAAGGGAAATTGTTAGACAAAACCAACTGGAAAGAACCCTACAATAAGAACTTTTATAGACAATGCTTTTGTGTCGACCTGATGTTTCTAGGATGTACTATTGCTATTGAATTATAGATGGCGATGTATACTTGTCTTTTGAAGGTAGGAAAATGTTAAAAACTTCCAGAAAATGATGATATGGAATAGAAACCAATCATACAGTTTCGGTTAGAAATCAATAGAGAATTCTTAGAGTGGATGTAAATAGGGCAGAATTTATTAAAACGTGGAGGATCTGCTAGTTTTGACTCCGTTTATGGATGTTATAGTGAAGAATGTCCCATAATCATTGTCTATTAATGCCATAATGATCAGGAAGGAATCTCTACCGAAATTTTGGATTCTATTTCATGTTTTAAGGCTTCAGTTCGTTTATTGAATCTTAGATGGCACTGCATACGTAATTATTTTTATCAAAATTCAAAACCATGCAGAAAATGATAATAAATAAAAGAATGTTTCAGTGCCAGTACTTGAAAAAATTAGCTATGCAGTTATACATCAGAAATGTAACTTTTGGAGTAATTCTTTTGTAAATGAAATCCCTGCTTCCAGTCATTATACCTGTAGATGCTGAATTATATCCAAGAAGAACGATTTTACAGGCCCAGCTCTGACTGGCCTGTAACTTCTAAAACAAAGATGGGTTTCAAGTTTTAACAACTCAGGTTTTAGAAGACATCACCTGATTCAAAACTATCTGATAAAAATATACTATAATGGTACTTAGTTAAAGATATCATGTTCATAGTTAGGAATCGTGTTGGAAATTACACGTTAAAAGGTAAGACCCCGTTAGTCCCTAGGTCGTACAAGTTTCGACTTCTGAGGGTTGTTGTTCGTAGGGGTGCGACAGCTGGTTAACGGAAAAACATATTTTAGGGATATTTTTTTAGATGTCTTAGAATTGGTAAATTCATTCAAATGCTGACGCTGACGGTTCACTCTGTCTCAGTATCCCAATTCATAGTAAGCTCTGCTTGCAGTTGATTCAGTAGGATGCGCCACCTAGAGACAAAGTCCGGAAGCAACTCCACAAACACAAACTCCGGTGTGGGAGTAAAAATAATAAATATATCCCGGAGAGGTGCACATTTATGATATGCTCATGTCTTGGTGAGGATACCAAACACTTGCCTATCGTGTTAGACCTACGATTTTGTAGGTACGTGTAGCAGATACAACACCTAACCCACAGCTTCGAAAGGTACTTCAGCGTTCTGCGCGGCAATAGTATTCCATTTAATTGTGACTAAATAATGTCAAATTATTTTGAAGATATCAAAATCCGGGCTAGTAAGTAGTGTGTGTGTGTGTGGAACCTGCAACAGACACCATTATGTGCGTTGACCGCGAGTTCGAAACCTATATCTCGAAGTGTCAGCAATGACTGAGTGGTGAGCTACGTGTTCACTCGAATTAATATTTTCAGAGGGTGGTGGGGGTGATGGTGGGGATGACGGCAGGAACAACGGTGGCGGACAGTGGTCGGGGCTATAGCGGGGTGACCATGCGAATGCTAACTCCTGATTGGTCCGCAATAGGTTGTTCTGATTGGTCCAAGTTTTTAACAGGTATGCTACGGGTGAATTGTCGATCGGAGTTATATTCCAGTCCATGAATAATTAAAAAAAGTTGAACGCGACAATCGCTGAAGTGGTTTCTGCCACCAGGCATCCGCTTCGTATGTAATGACTGATCTGACAATCATCACACATTTTTTTCGATTAATTATAGACTAAATTGATCGGATACGGATTCAATAAGAGTACGGATTTGAACTTCAACAAAGACGAATCTCGCATAATTCACACTTCCAGAAAATACCAGGTTCCCGAAAGAACAACAATTCTCGGGTAACGAGCGAAAATACGGAATAATTGAAACCGCAAGCCATGCAGCAAGCGTTTCCTTGTAATGCCGTTTTCACTTGGACGACCACTTGATCGATCTCGTTATTTGTACATTGTGGTATGTCGAACTTATTCATACGAGAGGTTCGTTATTTTACACCCGGCAATTTGTTGGCGTCGTTTTAGAGGTTGAGCGCTCGGAAAAATTACTGGCACGTTGCACAAACGAGGGATCAATTAAAAATATCGGTGAGAATGCGGTATTTTCCGTATCGTTCACGTGATCAAGTATGGTATATAACATGAGACGTGAATGAAAAAAAATCCACAAAAGCTGATGTCATCAGCTTGTGTGTGGTGACATAGTTTTACGGTGTGATGTTGACGAATCAAATGAATACAGTCAAAATAATAAAAAAAAAAACGCGAGAAAAAGTGAGATTACAGATTAACCAGAAGGATGTATTTTGAAATAGGTTGAGATTTTTAGTTATAGATTAATTATAAAAAGAGTATAGTAGACCAATGTTGGAACAAAAAATGGCTTAAGAAAACAGTAAACAATATAACTATTTTCAAGATAATAATGCTAAGTAGTAATAATAAATAAATAGCCAAAATTTCATTAAAATGAAATTACTATTCAGGATGTTATAACAATAAGATTGGGAGTATTCAGGAAGATACTCGAATTGTAACTACCATTTGTTGTAAAGTAAGGAGGAATATTACAAAAATAGCCAGTAATGTCAACTTTTGCTCATTAGACAAATTAATAATGAACAGATCAATTAATTGTAATTATTTATCAACTCTCTTCAGAGGGTAATCACAAATTATTATTTTCATTTATGTTTCTTATTTAGTGGTACCATCACTGTTAATTTTTTTTAATTTCTGTATGTTTGCGTGCATTATGAAGTGGTGCTTGTTGGTTGAGCTGGAGTAGCTTTGAGCTAGACTTCGCCAATGAGTACCAGAATTTCCTGTAACTCATTTTCATTTTCGAATGTATCTTTGTATTATTTTTTGTATATTATCAATAAAGCCGATTTATTATTATTATTATTATTAATATGTCAATGAATTAATTTAAAAATAGGCGGGGCAAACGCCACCACCAAATTCAGGAAAGTGTAACTTGTGTTGATGTGATAATGGCATACCTATAGTCGAATTTAAATCCTTCACTGAACATTTTGTTCTGGAGTTGCAAAGTATACATAAACCTGTTCCAAACTACCCTTTGAATACCCTTCAGCAACAAAATCCTGTGTTCAAATTCAACATATACCCTTCTCCGAGAACAAATCACCAGCCATTAAAAACAAACAACCATGTATAATTTTTTATGCACCCCATCGAAACACGTCGTATTATTGGCCAAAGAAAGAGCCCTAAAAGAAACACGTCCAGTAATTGTAACTAAAACGTCTCCAGTTACTGACAGGAACCAGAATAACAACTGTTGAAAAGTTGTCAGCTACTGTAATTCGGAGCCTAATCCGATGAATGTACGCCGACACTAGTATCACTGTGGAATTATACCCGAAATTTTGACCCGCCTTCTTTTGTTGGGACATAGACAGGATTTGATATTAGTGTTATTATTACACGGGGCTTTGTTGCCGAATTTTCTTTTCATTTTTGGTACGATGACGCCGGAAATGTGAATATTCCGACTGGTAACTTGCAAGAATATTTTCACATAAAGTACTCGTATACAGGGAGTTTACTAACTANACTATATGTACCTTTGAAAGACTATTTAGGTATTGTATCAAGTCGTTCGCATAAATAAGAAAAAGCAGTGGTCCGAGTATAGACCCCTGTGGAACTCCTTGCTTGCAGGCCAAGGACTGACTGTGAACACCTTGCATTCTCACTGTTTGTGACCTGTTCTCTAGATATGACCTCATCCAATCTTGGGCAACTCCACGAACCCCATTGCGATGCATTTTCTGGATTAGTACATAGTGATTCACACAGTCAAATGCTCTAGAAAAATCGATGATGAAAAATCCAAGGCTGTTACTACGTGCTCTATGAAATCATATGAAGCTGTTTCCGTGCTTTTATTTTGCATGAAACCATGAAACTGATTTTTAATATTCATTTCGTATAACTTGGATATACTAGAGAGAAGACTTACTCCTCTATAGTTCTCATAGCTATTTGAGTCTCCTTTTTTAAAGATTGGTGTAACGTTATTAGAGCAAGTCATTTTCAGCAATAATTTTCGCTGAACGTTTGGGCAAGAACGATTGGTGACTACCTAATTGGCCAATTTTTTCTAAACTGGTGAATCCTACCGGTACTTGTAAGTGGCAGCATGTGGTATATGTACGACGGGGCTGCAGCTAATTCTAGTGTTCTTGCTCGTCAGCATCTCGACATTGCTGGATTGAACGTGTAGGACCTCCAAATTGGCCAGCTCACATACCTGATATGAATCATCTGGATTTCTATTTATGGGGTCATCTGAAGGCTCTTGTTCATTAAACTCCTGTACTGTAACGGTGTCTGGAAATCTGCCGTCGTAGCAGAAGCTTGTATAGAAGTTAGTTTGAAAAACAAAATTGAGCTGTCTAACAAAATATTGAATTTTCCATCTTCTTCCAAACAAATTAAAATATCTGATAAAATTGTGGAATCAACTCTTCAAGAAATATCTAACGTTTCTGATCAGCAGCAACATGAAACATCTTCGGGAATTTATGTTGGAAGTAATTGTACAAACTTTACTACTATCAATTATTATTCCAATAAATGAAATTGTTTTATGATGAATAATCAATTATTAATCGACTCTGTAGAAAATAAATTTGTCAAAAAGTAATATTTCTTTTTTATTTTGTGAATTATTTTGGCAATGGAAAAAGTAAACATTTACGCATCAATAAAGATGCAGAAATGTCAAGTTTATTTGACAGTTGTA